ACACAGAGAATTCCAGGAAATAACGGGACAGGAAGTGAATGAAAGACCCCCAAGATCAGGCGTGGTGCCGCAGGCCTGCCATCCCAGCACTCTGAAGGCTGAGGCAGGAGGGTTGCCTCCAGTTTGAGGCCAGCTTGGGCTACAAAGCAAGACCCTGTCTCAAATAAACAACAACAAAAATGAGAAAAATAAAACATAAATAAAGACCCCCAGGCAAGAGGACTCCAGAGCTGCTGCAGAAAGCGGCCAGGATGGTGGGACGAGTGTGTGCAAAGCCGGGAGGCTTCTGAGGGGATTTATGGCTATACGCCTTCAACTGTAATCAACTTTTTAAAATACAAGCATTCACTGCACTTTATACACCGCAGAATTTTCTCTTTTTCTCCGGAAGCGGACAGATTAATTCTACGCCTTGTGTGAAAGGACAAAACTGTGACCCTAGGTGGGAAAATTCTGCGAGATACAGGGATCCAGCCTACCCGTTGGATGTGAAATTCAAGACACAGCGGCTGTGATTCTGACGCGGGGGGAGAGGAGAAAGCCGAGGAACGCTGGCGGACGCCACACGAGAAACAAATACACAACGTAAATATTAGGGCCTAAGCAAGAAAACCTTGGACCTCAGAGGAGGAGAAAAGTCTTCCTCCTGCCAGCACGGTGGGAGGCTGAGGCAGGAGGATCCCAAGTTCAAGTGCAGCGTCGCAGGCGTCTCCTCCCTGCCCGGTAGCCGCAGAGACTGTGTCACAGAAGCACGGGGTCACCTGAGGGCTCAGCCCGGCCTTGCTTGGGTTTTGGACGTAGAACACAGGTGAAAGCTCAGGCTATGTTTGGGGCATGCAGGCTGAGCCCGGGCCTCACGCTCCATGTGCAAGTCTGTCACGGGTCCTTGCACGCCCACAGACCCGGGGGCCACCAAGACTCGGGATCTCGCTATGTTAAACTGCTCCAGCTGGCTTTGAACTCCTGGAGATCCTCCTGCCTCAGCCTCCCAGAGTGCTGGGATGACAGGCATGCGCCGTGACACCTAGTTTGGTTTTTCTCCTAACAGGGAGTCTTGTAGTGTATGTGGAGAACATGGGAAAAAGTGCAGAAATGACCGTGATAAAAATGCTAAGTTTTTTAAGTGATGCAGTTGATGTTTGGTGGCTGAGCGCTTGCTAG